CGTCAAGGTTTGAATACACACAGACCTGGCCAGTCTGAGGACTGAACCCAGGAGATTACAGAGCCTACTGCAGATGAACAACAAGCTGCCTAACTGACTGCTCCTACAAAGCAAAATCTATGCTAGCAAAGCAGGCACCAAGCTTACCTTCTGAAAATGCATGCTCATACTACCGTTCCTCCAAGATCCCCTCCACACAGTTACTTGCTTATCTCATCTACTGGCTTTGTCCTGCCTTGAAATAAGACTCAAAACTCATTGGGCAGAAGTTCTCATTTGCAGTATGTCTGGACAATTTCTATCACAATACAGTACCTTTTTCTTGTTGCAGCCAGCAGATGAAAATACAATATCAAGATAGTGGAGTTTTTCAGCAGATAATTGATTTAACTACATAGAGGAAGGATAACCTATTACATTCCTTTTGCATATCTTGAAATATACCCAGGAAAAAGACACCACTGTATTCCCTCAAAAGCATGGAAAGACAGAAAATGGCAGGCATAATTCAGTAGTCATATTAAGAACAGCACTGATATCTAAGTAATATTTAGCTTTGTTCATTTAAGAAATACTGTATTTTATTTTAATCCTGGAGGATGTAATGTCAAAGATTCAATCTAAACAGTTGTATCAGGACAGTCTTGCATTAATCAAGTTATTTCCACATCCAAACATCAATTCCCTATGCCGAAACACAATTACATCATCTTGTGTGGAACAGTAACTTGAATGATTTTTTTTTCACCCAGGTTTGGCTAGTGGAATCACAGAACCAAAAAAATACCTTTAACCCGTGCACAATTGCATTTACACAGGTGATGTTACAAATGAGAGAGAGATCTGACCACCATCAGAAGAGACAGAAGCCTCTCACCCTACTCCAATGCCTTCCAGACTCAGCGTATTGCAAGGCGTGTCCCTTCCTCTGGAGCACCATGAGGAAGAATAGATCCCCATACAACTTCTGCACAGAAAGAGTCACTGGAAGACTTGCTTCAGACAAGACACTTCCTCCTCAGAGTCTGGATGTCCATAATAATCATGCCCAGAAAAGGGTGCCCCAGAAAATGACTCTTCAGCAAAAGACAACTGATTAGCAGAAGTGAAAGAACAGTGTGTCTGTTGTACTCTACAAAGGAAAACATCAAACTTTGTTGACAATGTACGACAGATACTAGATATGATGGATTACAGCCAGGCAAGTGTTTAACAGAAGAGATGGTCCAATGCCAAATGCATATTTCTAAACACTCAGCACTATACAGCTGCACCAATGCTGCAGACTCCGCTTCAGGCTGGGGCTGTAACCATCCCTGGATTATAACAGCACATAACTGGCTTTTGTCCTCTTAATTTTTGATTTGGATAAATTTCATGTTTGTTTTTCAAATCTCATTTCCTATATTAAAACAAAAGTATGCTTCAAAGCAAAGAAGCCACCACAAACACTTGAAAGTTAGGTTCATAATTGCTCATACAAACTTACTGTGGTTCACTTTTATATATACTGCAGTAATCACATAGACCTTTAAAAACACGTTCCGTAACACTCATTGAGCTTGACTTTCAACTTGAATGTCATTATTTGAACAGTTCTTGTATAAAATATAAAAATAATGCTCAAGTACTGGATCAAATGCAAAAATCATCCAGCTGGTGGGAGGCATAGAAAGCATTCCCTTTTCCGACAAATATATATACATATATATCATATTATTAATATACATCAGACTCACAAAAGCTTTTGATGTCATAGAAAACTAGAAGAAATAAACTCAATGTTCCACTGAATGTAGGGCAAAAGGATGCTACGAGAAAGGCTTCTTGATTATTATAATGGTACCTATTATTATAAGGGCTTATGAGAACGGCGAGATCCCATGTTGTGTAATACTATGGTAAATTTTCATATGCTCAAATATTAGACAAAAACACTGTATAAGTAGTCATGGAAAAAAAACACTCAAGCACTTTTGCAGTATAACGGCTATTATTTGCAACATCTTAAATTCAAATGCTTCCAATTACTTCAAATTTTTTAAAATTGGAAAAAGCCTCAAAATATCTGGGGTTTGATTACAGCTGAACACAAATGGTAATGTGACATAAATAAGATACAGCAATATTTTTCCAGTGAATAAATGTCCACCTATTCCCAGTCCAAAAATTTGGCCAAATACTCTTCTGAAGTTTCTGAGAATAGCCATTTGACTTAATTGTCCGTCTCCAGAAAGAAACACCATCACAGGCATAACGGTCTATTCTCATGGGCTTCTTTTTCAAATCTAAAGCAATAATCTAGCTTTACCCAAATCCTAATGCTCACTTTTATCCATCAGCAATGGACTTTTTTGACATTACTTCTGGAAAACAACCACAAAAAAAAACCCCAAAAAACATATCCTACTTTTGCATTCCTGTGTAGTGATCTAATTTTATATGGATGGCCTATATTTGTGATCGCTACTGGTCAATGTTAAAGAGAACCATGAAGAGGGAGCACAGAATTAGTGTCATTGATATTTAAGGCCTATGTTTTCCACACAGGATTTACCAGTTTGTTCTCACCATAGTCAAGCCATGGAGAGAGGTTGTAGGAGCTTAAGAGACATCCAAACTATAATTTCCACCAAGCAATTCAGCCAAATGAGGAAGTTCAGCTGAAAGTAAACTCATCACAAAAACACTACAGGTTGCTTTAACAAAACATTTCAATTTATCAAACTTTAAAGGAGCTGTGTTTTTCAACAAGAATAAAAAAAGAATAAAATATTTCTACCCAGTCCTAAATTGTACATTGCTGTCAATCCCTATCTTCCAAAAATGATGGCTGTAAATTTTACGTTCTCAGACCTACTCCCATCTGCTCATCAATGTGTCATTATGAAAGAATTTAAGGTAGCATACCTTGCATCCTGAGGACAAACACAAAATACGATATATGAAGACTTAACCTAAAGTGTAAGTGACCCAACTACTGTTAATCGTATTTTTGGATCTCTTTCTTTTGTACCTCTCAGTACAACACCAGCACTTATGGCTGAAAATTATATTCATTCAAATGCAGATTCATATGTAACGCTATTGGAAAAAAGCTGAAGCATGTATGTAGTCTACCTTCATGATTTGTCGCATGGATTACTTACTATTTGTTCCATTAAAAAGTTACCTGCATGCCCAAGTCCTTACAGAATCCTCACCTAAGTAATGTGAAAAACCTCCCTCACACTACCTTTAAAGAGCAGTTGAAAACTGAGACCTATGTCAATACCAAGCTGAAAAAAGTCTCTGAAATGAGAGGATGTTGGACACTTCTGTTTGGCCTCTGGGAGGACAACTGCATTGGTTGCACAGGCTTAAGGCTGACACCATATCATGCCCACAGATAAAGTAGGTCTGAGATAATGGGGACAGCTAAATAAATATCAGCTTACATAAGCAGGATACACTTTCCACTCTATAAATTAGAGATTAGCTAAGTTACATATATGATTGCAATATTAAAGCCATTTTTACATTATGCAAAGCATAAGTATGAGATAAGAAAAAAATATTAATTCAAATCTCTGTGTAACAAAAATATAAGCTAATGAATAAATGTTTTTTCTAAGAGAAAAAATAGCAGGAAAAACGGTTTTAAAAGAAGTCATCAAAAAACACGAGTTCTAATAATTACATCATATGGATCAACTCATTATAATCACTTTCTAGTCCAAACAAGGTAACTTCAACACATACACAAAACTGGTATATTTCTAAAAACTGTCACTTGCACTTTGACTATCTCTTCCATGTAAACTGTCACCACAGATCTAGTCAGCATGCCCTCCCTAACCTACCCGGGACATGACCCGCAACATCCACGAGCTATCCTCTGGTTTAGGTTTTCAAACAAAGGACTAAAGGAGTATATTTTACAAGAAAGCTAGAGCCTTAAGTGGATATTTAAATAAGTACTACTGAATGATTGAAAACTTTAAATGGGTAGCAATGGTAATTTTTAAGGACAGATAATTGAATTGTACATAGAACTGTAGTTAGGTCCATCATTTCTCATCAGACGCTTCTACCATCAAGACTGCAATGGCTTAGGCAACTAAGAATCACTTCATTTCTAGAAGCTGAGATCTGGGTAATTTTAGAAGATGTGATAGGTTTTTGAGTTGTAGAGCTGTTTTTAATAACAGCCAAAGCATTACTAATCTTATTTTCTAATGCTTTTTATTTAGAAAACAATGCCTGCAAATCACTGGTGTATGTTTTTGTTTGTTTCTGACACAGCAAAGTAACTTTCCAACCCTGACAGTGATTGCCCAATTAAAGCTTCCTGATGATTTGATTGCTATTAATTTAATGTTAGACTAAATCTGCCTGGTTACGAGTGAAGGCCTTCCTCTTGTAAATCAGGGCCTCACCAACAGCAGCAGGGCTCACTGTGGGAACACAACGTGCTCACATGGACTGCACTGCAGCCTTGAGACTTGTCAATGCTCTGAACCGCCACACTAAGCAGGGAAGAAGGGAAGAGAAATCAATTTTTTTGAATGTGTGGCACCAATTAATGGGATTAATAGCACTACCAGGCACTGAGGCAGCACAAAGAAAGAAGAGGACGCAGAAGGGCCATAATGAGCTCAGGGCCTTGCTGTGAAAACTCCTAAACCATGTGAAGACTGTAAGAGCCAGAGGGGTTTGCAGTCTCTGTGCAGATAAACAAGACAGACAAAGGAAAGGGAAAGACAAGCACAGAATAATATGTGATAATGCAGCGGGACAGCAGTAGCAGAAGTAGGAACAGCAGCCAGATAACTGTCTACCATTTCAGTACCCTAACTACTGCATATTTTATTCTCCTGACTTCTTAACTTTTTCTTCAGTGTTTAAGTAAATCTTATTAAGTGGATCTTCATTTTCGCCAACTTCATTCTTCTAATCTTTTTTCTATTATCATAGGGAAACACAGAATTAAAAAAAATTCTCTTGAATTTCTTATTTACCTTTGTTCCTTTTTCTCCCCTGCTATCTTTTTCTTTCAGGTATTCCTCCTTCACAGGATAATAAATCGAGATTAAATCTGTTACTCTAGCAAAGTCTTCTCTTTGTGTATCCCTTCTTTGCTCCATATTGGTAAGTCTCCATTCAGCTTTTGTCTCCAAATAGCTTCACTGTCTTACACTTTGTATTAGACTACAGGCATTATTATCTACTGGCATTATTCTGAACCAGGGCACACTTAGGAGGAGCTCTGAAACACCTTTTTTTTTTTTCTGGGAGCTCTACATCATGCAAAAGGATGTGTCTTAAAAAGATAGTGAGTGAATTGCAGCCTGCCATCTCTCCAAGGTTAATGCTGTGCAGACTTTGTCCTCAGCACAATTATGGGTGGTGTTTCATGATGGCACACCCAGAGGAATTTCTGCATCTGCAGACCTTGGTTTTGTCCTCAGCTTGTGTTTCCCTGGACATCTCCGCTTTGTCCTGATTAGGCAGGAAGGACAAGATTCTTTAGAATGCTTAGGAAGATGAATACCCAGGTCACATTGGGTGTATTGAGCGCGTCATGCCCAACTGGCCTGGACATGTGCAGTTAATACAATGTGTCTGAACAGGAACATACAGCACCTACCGCATTTATGCAGGATCTTTGCCCAGCACACATGGGATTCTCAGGCATGTTCCAATGCTTCAGAGCATCTATATGCATTGCACAGAGTGTGCACATGCGCACATACATTTCAGTCTGAGAAATCCCAGTAAACCCAGTCACAGAAACCTAGTAATCTTACCCTGTCTCTCTCTTTTCTTCTTCAAATGAAACTATGGCTTTACTCACACCTATGCCCCCCAATTCCATCTCTACAAAATATCACAGAATCTGCCTCATAAAATCTTTTTCTTCCTAACTGCCCTATCCGTAATTGCTTCCACAAGTTCTCTCCTAAGGTCATCTACAGATGAAACTAACCTTCCTTTTCAGTTCTATGAACCATCATCCAAGTCTCCAGAAGAGACAGCTTCCACTTTGTCCTGGTTTTGGCTGGGATAGAGTTAATTTTCTTTCTAGTAGCTGGTACAGCGCTGTGTTTTGGATTTAGGATGAGAATAATCTTGATAACACACTGATGTTTTAGTTACTGCTGAGCAGTGCTTACACAGAGTCAAGGACTTTCCCTGCTTCTCACACCGCCCCACCAGCAAGTAGGCTGGGGGTGCACAAGAAGTTGGGAGGGGACACGGCTGGGACAGCTGACCCCAACTGACCAAAGGGGTATTCCATACCATATGACGACATGCTCAGTATATAAACTAGGGGAAAAGCTGGCCAGGGGTCCACAGCCCAGGAACTGGCTGGGCATGGGTCAGTGGGTGGTGAACAATTGCATTGTGCACCACTTGTTTTGTATATTCTTTTATCATTATTATTATTATTATTATTTTCCCTTTCTTTTTTGTCCTATTAAATTGTCTTTATCTCAATCCACAAGCTTTACCTTTTTTTTTTTCCCCGATTCTCTCCCCCATCCCAGTGGGGGGGCGTGTGCAAACGGCTGTGTGGTGTTCAGCTGCCTGCCAGGTTAAACCACAAGATGCTTATGTAGGCTTCTAGGACAAATTCTGCTATCAACAATACAGAGCAGCTTTTCTGCATTAGTGCACCAAAAGAAACACAGAACTTACCATTCAGAATTCCTTTCTTTGAGACAGGTACCTAACCAGAGGAATTCTTCACAATCATCAGTTTACCTCTCCACTCATACAAATGTCAGCAGAGACACAATGCCTATCAAATTGGAGTGTAATGCAATCTTGATGAAGGAGTTTGTGGCACAGCAGCCAGTGTTAATAGCAGTGCTAAGGACACCTTTAACTCCCTGGCAAATCTATACCCAAGCAGTATTGCCAAGATCAAGTACCAGAAGTATGAGTCAGACACTGCAAAACATGCACATTTCTTTAGATGATAAGAAGTTGTATTTTCTTGTATTTGCCCAGTGTTTCACACCCTTCAGTCATACCCTCAGCAACCACAAGCACTAGAAGCTTTCTTTAAAAAAATAAAGTACAGATCCCAGGTAACCATTTGACTGTAGGGACTAAGATTGTAAGAAGAAGAAAAAAAAAAAGAAAAAGAATGCATTGCCAAGTAGCATTAATCTTTGTCATCCCATCCCCTTCCATTTCCTATCCATTCTCACTTCCATGCTCAGTGTATTCATATGGTCCATTTCCTCCTAATTCGTTAGGCCATCCTCCCTAATTATTCAATTCCCTCTTCCGCTCCTTCACAGAAGGGACTGGGCTGGGCTCCATGACATTCTCCTGACCTATGGCGAACTGCATCTTTAAAAGGCGAGATCCATATGAAGCTAGCTTAAGCACACAAGCTCCTCGTATACAGGGCTGAGCAGTTAGTTAGAACTCATGGAGTGATTTGGAGATCACTTATACCCATCTAGCAACTTGCTACTGGAGAAAAAGGCAGCTGTGCTCCTCTCCTTCCCCTCACCCTCTGGCCACCTCCATTTTCCCTCCCGAGTCAATGCCGTGCTCCTCATCAGACCACATGGTGACACACCGAGCTAAACCAACTGAACACTTTTCACTTCTTCGCAGACTTCCTTTTCTTCTATTTCATCTTCCCAGACTGGGTAACTGTAGCATGAGACAACTGCCAGTTCTGGAACAAGAACAGCAGTAATGGGCAGCCAGCAATGAAGATGAACAGGACCCGCAGCAACTGGCTATTAGCTCAACCTCACAACCTGCAGTTCTGAGTACCACACCACCAGAGCATCTGGAGTAAAACAAGCTATGAGAGGAGGAATGATTCAATTAAAAAGTCTCCAACACAGCTGAAAGACCCAAACTGTCACAATTCCTGCCCCAGAAAACAGCTCCTCCAGAAGCCAACAAAAGAGCTTGATAAGCATATTGTTCCAGCTACTATAGAGAAATCTGGTGCATGAATAGAGTGATTTTACTCATTGAATATTGCAGAGAGCTGGCAACACGACAAGAGAGAAAGAATGCTTCATGTAAATACACAAGAAGGTAACAATTTCCACTCCCCGTATGGACAGAAATTTTATAAGAGGTGGCTAATGTAAAATAGCCTTCTACTTATCATGCATGGGTAAGCGAGTTCACACACATTCTTCATTTTGTATGGGCATTTCCCATAATGCAACATATTTCCTCACAGTGCTATATAAAGTCATGTTCAAAACTGAGGTGTTTCACTGGACCCTCTAAGTTTAATGCAAAGATAATACTTGAATTTTATGTAAATAGAAAAAAAAACCCAAAACAACAGAAGAGCAAAACCAGAGGGGCATCATGACTTCAGCCTAATGACTCTGCCTGAACACTTTTGGAAGGAACTAAAAATAGGTATTCAGTGAAACTGGGTAGCCAAAGGAGAAATTAACACAGCATGGCATATGGTACCTGACATAAAAATTAAGGCCATCAAAAACGTGTCTATTGCAAGCTTTTTAAAAGGTATTACCCTCTATACTGAAAGCAGATACGGATGTTGGGTTGTCTTGGCAAAGGCATAGGTGTGCATTTCAAGTAATCATGCTCTTTTCCTACGTCCTAGAATTAAACTCATGAATCTCTGTTCCTCCTATCAAATGAGTGCTGCTTTTCATCACCTTCAGTAAAATCTGAAACAGCACACTGCCTTAGTCAGGAGGCCAACAGCTTCCTAAGATTCTATTTGAAAATGATTTTGCTTTCAGCCAGGTTTTAACTGTTTCTCAGGTAGAGAAGCATCTTCTCTTAACACAGAAGATATCCCTCTCTCATACTTCACAGCTAGTATAAGAAAGTGTGCAGAGTGCATCTCTGCAAGGGGAATAACACAGAATACAGTCAATAACACCTCATTTTTATCTGGATATTACAGACATTAAGGGGTTTGGGTAGTCTTTGTTCCACAAGTTGGTGAATATAAAATGCCTGAAGCCACCTCTCAAGTCCAGGGGTAATAAAGTATCTCCATTACCCCTCACTCATACAAAAGCACATATGCTTTCCCCCCCCCAAAAAAAAAATATCACAAGACAAAAAAAAATCACTGAACAAATGAAAATGAGAAATCATTGGTCCTCACCTCTTCATTTACATAAACAAGACAGAAAATGGAAAGTACCAAGTGGGAAGAAAAGAAATTGGAAAAAGGGGGAGAGTATTGATTAGACCTTCAAAATTAGAGGCAAACTGTAAAAGAACATGATGTTAAAACGCTCTTAAATATTATGTTTCTAACCCAATTTTTTAATGCTTCTGTTTACAAAGTAACACTTTTAAACGAAGCAAGCACTAATAACAGGTGTCTTTCTAGGTGTGTCTTTTTAGTCAATGCCAAGATAAAGAAGCTAACTAAGAAATCCACTTGCTCCAGGAGAATAAAGAAGCACATCACATGTGGCAGAAATGCCAGTCAAAGTACTAGCTGTCCCCTTCCCTCTCAGAAGCTCCAAAACAACCAGAAGGCTGAGACTGTGCTGACTCTGGGGTACGGACAGCATCTAGACCGCTTGGAAAAGCATAAATCAGTAACAGCAAAGAACACATTAGAAAAAATTAAAGACTGAGTCAAAGCCATTAAAGTTTTTTATTTAATATTTGACATTTACATTTGTCCTTTGTACCAAAAGATTGGATTAATCAAAAGAAACAAAACAGTTGAAGAGCTTACTTCAGGTTTAATTAATACCATGCATTAAATATTATCTAAAACTTGGAAGAAACTTCATAATGTGATAAAATGCAAAGAAAAAAGAGCAATAGTAATAGGCTAATTTTGATCCAGACTGATTCATTACTTACAGGGGTTGCCAGGAAAAAATTCAAAATCATCATTGTCCCAGTGCATGTCCTAGAGCAAAGACCTTAGACTCATGGCATTTTATTTTATTTTAAACAGGAACTCTGTTTAAACTTTATTTTAAACAGGAAATCTGCTAGCTCTAGACCTGAGCATTGAGCAGCCAGGCTCTGCTGGTACATGATGGTGAGAGCAACTCAATTGAGAACTAGTTCTCATTTTCCCCAGCTATTTTTTATGGGAACCTAGTTATGCCTTCAGCTCCCCCTCTCAAGAAACAAAGTAATT